ACTGCTCAATTAAGGTATCTAACTTTGTATTAAAATGTTTATTAAAATTATAATATTAGATGTAAAGTGACTATATATTTATAATTAAAAAAGATTTATAAAACATCAATTCATAATGTCTCGTTGATCAAACATTAACATTTCAAATTAAAAGAATCCTTATTTAATATATTATTTAATATTTTTCAATCAAGATATAATTTATAAATGCTAAAAAAGTTCTTATTTAATAGAAATAGATGTATACAATTTATAGACAATATAAATTGATGTGTGAATATATAATAAATGTATATGAAACATTAATGTGACATATAAAAAATATTAAATTAATTGTAATTATTTACACTGCATATTTTATAAATCAATATATTTATTTATAGCTTTTTAGATTACAATATTAAGTAGAAATATTGAATAATAAATTAGAAAGAGAATGTGATGAATTTCACAATTTCATATATGAGCTACTTGCTGTAGTATATATGCTATATTTTTCTGTCAATTGTGTTCCATACAGGAACAAAATCCATTTGCGCCATAAAAATAACGATGGTGAGAGTCCAGACGAAAAACTGAAGAGAAATATCAAACAGAAATATTATTATTGGAAATTTTACAACTTAGTAAGCTAAGATTCTGTATAAAGTTAAAGATGATTTACCTTACGAATAAAGGCGTAGCCGAAATAAAATAGTCCCAAACCACTAAACTTCAATGGTCGTAATGATACTTGCAAAACAAACTGATAAATCTGCGTTACATTATAATGCAATTTTTATTTTAATATATTACTTAAATAAAAATTATTTTGAATTAAGAGATGATTATATAAGAAACATCTCACCTCTTCGCGAGCTTCCGCAAAGCAAATGAGATTTGTTAATTTGTGGATAATGCTCTTGGTCTTGTGCGCCTGAAATGTTATAAAATTAATTATGTTTACATTTGTAATTGTATTGTTTTCAATAACAAATTCGAATTTTTACATGAAGCAGAAATTTTTAAATCTGTTTTATTACTGTAAAGAATTTTTTGCAATGTTAACATTTATTTTAATTTGATTGTTATTCACAATTATTAATCTTCAAGAAAGATTAAAGATTATGTCATTTGTTATATAACTTTTTTATAATTTGCAAAAATGATTTTTTCCTAACGCGAGCGTGAAATGGACCGCTTTTCGCGTTTGTTTTGAGTGAGCAAAACGATCCATTTTGCCACTAGTTGAAAAATGGAGCCATTTCTCAACTAGTGGAGAAATGAAATTGTAAAACAAGCGCGAAAGCGGCCTGTTTCACGCTCTTGTTAGGAAAAATAGTATGAACAACTCGTGGGAAGAGTGGTCGAGCCCAAGTGAGTGTGATGGTCGCACTCGCTTTGCTCGTGCGACCAACTTCACACTCATTCAGAATCGACCACTTTTCCCACTATGGTTGTACAATATACTATTTCCAATTAATATATGTTTACCTTAGCGCTAACGCTTTCGCAAATGTGATTCAGTGATATAAGTTTTGTTAAAAATATGAAAAACCACATCATACTAGAAAGAAATGTTTTTAATATCACATCATTGTTTATTATTTCTTTCAGATGTAATATCGTGTGATATTCGAAGTAAGACCCTTCGTTTAAGAGAATGAAATAGGATATTATTTGCAAAGTCATTTGTACTCCGAAGAAACCATTTATATCGCGAGCTGTCCGGCAAAGTTCCAAATGGAGATGTCTAAAAAGATATTAATTTAATAAAAAACAAATAATTATTAAAAATATACTTGTATTTATTAATCTATTATTTCTAAAATACATATATCGCGTTGGTATCTTAGATGAATTAGCGCGATTAGAGCTGATTTATCGCAAGACTTATTATGTCGTAAAACAGAATAAAAGTTATATTTATGTTTATTATATTTTTACATATATTTTAAATTAGAAAATTTGTAATTTACATTACGATCCATAA